GGGCAGCTTGTCCCAGCCCCAATCCCTCCCTCCCCCATGCACCTTCCCTCCCCACTCTGCCTATCACAACAGACTTACTGTCTGGAGGCAGCTGTCCGGCGTGGTGAGGACTGCTGCCTATTTAGTCTATGGTCAAATCTCCAGATCTGATTCGGCTGAATCAAATCAAGACAGTGATTCAAATCTCCCAATTGTCCCTCCGATCTGGCTGAATCCAAATCCAAAGCGAATACTTCCTGCTTTGTCCAGGCCTAGCTAACAGCAAATTGGGCTGGATTAGTAGGAGTGTTGTCAGCAGATCAAGGGATGTGATTATTCCCCTCTATTTGGCTCTGGCGAGGCCACATCTGCAGTACTGTGCCCAGTGTTGGGCCTCCCACTACAGAAAGGATTCTGACAAACTGGATAGAGTCCAGCAGAGGGCAACAAAAATGGTTTGGAGGCTGAGGACACAATTTATGATGAGAAAAGGCTGAAGAAACTGGGCGTATAAAGTCTGGAGAAGAGAAGACTGAGGGGAGATTTAATAGCAGCCCGAAACAGGGTTACAAAGAGGATGGAGCTAGACTGTTCTTCGTGGTGGCAGAAGACAGAACAAGGAACAATGGCCTCACATTCCAATAAGGGAAGTTTAGGTTAGATATAAGGAAAAACTCTCTGACTAAGAGGGTAGTAAAGCAGTAGAACAGGATCCCCAGAGAGGTTGTGGAATCTCTATACTTAGAGGTTTTTAAGACCTGGGTAGAGAAACCCTTGACTAGAATGATCTTGTTGGAGATAATCCTACTCTGAGCAGGGGGTTGGACTTGGTGACCTCCTGAGGTCCCTTTCAACCCTAATTTTCTGTGGTTCTAAGATCAAACACTCCAATTTAAGATTAAAACAATTTGTGTGTAATTCAAATTATGCACATGAATAACACATGTAAAATGACACAGTTCCATTGAAAGGATTATATTCTATTTTACATAAACTAAATGATTTTACCTGAAATGGATATTTGTTTTGACAGGGAATAACACCATCATTCTTCACAATCTCAACACATTTGATTTTTGCAATATCAACTGACCCCTTCCTGTATTTTTTCTGTTAAAAAATAAGAAAGAAAAGTAGTAAGATACAAGGGAAGACTGATACATTTAGGGCCTCTTCTCTCATTCATGGGACTAGCAGAGGAAGCCCCACCTCATTGCCATCCTTCAAAATTATGAAAGCCACCATATGACACCAGAATCTAACAAAACCTCAATGTCTAGCATATGTCATTATTAAGCTATTCAGTGAAGACACTTGATGCAGAAACTGTTCAGTTCTGAAGCCATAATGCAGGTGTTACTCAGACTCACCATAAAAATAGCTACTAGAATCAGGAAATAACTCATACTTCTTAAGAACTGAATCACATTAACAGGAAGGTCAAGAAGAAAGTAACCTATGTGCCTATTTTTGCTCATCTGAAAAACTGGGAGTAGACAACATGATAAAATAAATGTAAAACTGCTCTAAGAGAATGAGTAGAGTCAGCCCCTCAAACAACAACACATATTTGTTCTCACTAACCTTAAATTATAGACTTTTTAACAAAGCTGTTGTATCTCTTTTTCCTAAAATGAGCTGAAGGAAAAGGACTGGGCCACACCTCACCCTGTAAGGAACAAGGACGAGTTCAGCGTTTTGCTCGTAGAGGGCTCCACATAACTCTGATGAGCAAGTGAGCAGAAAGAGTTAGAAAAGAAAGTGGTTTGAATGATGGTAGGTAGGGATCAGGGACAAGTACAGCACGAGAAGACTATGGGGAAGGTGGGCAGCAGGCTGAAGGCAGCAGCCTGCTGGTAGAAGTAAGGCTATGAACAGATGTTGTTTTGTCACAGAATTGGCTGTGCTGGGATGTCCTAAGACAGCTGATCTGATTGACTGGCAGGTACAAACATCACCTGGGGCCACTGCCCAGCAGGATCAGGCCCCTGATGCTCTGAGGACTTTAGGGGCCTGAATCCTTTGGAACAACAGCCCCAGGTGCCTGGCTCCTACCCAGGGAACCCTGTCAGGTTCCCTTGCTCTGCAGTGTAAGAGAGACACCTGAGAATCACCTGCCCAGAGAGGCTGAAAAGCACAGGCAGCCCTGAGCTACAGGAATCGTGCCATAAATTAGCAGGAATCCTCCCTGATAAAGTGCAACAAAACTGTCACAAGAAATCATTGCACAAACATTTTCGAGCACTTGAAGCAGAACAAAGGTTCTCTCTCAACTTGTGCTCCCACAAACACATTTATGGCAGCACAAGGGTGACGTCTTTTTGCACTCTTAAACACTAAAGAAAACTTATCCTGAGAGCTGGGCCTGGAAGACAGAGGCCAGCAGCAGATTACTCCTGGCGGCAGCTGCAACCATAAAGGGAATTTTTTTTAAAAATCAGGCATAAAACAGACACCACAGAACTGGACAACTGCTCACCAACCAGCTTATTCTACAGGTGCAGATGAAACATTTTCTTCATTTCAGTTTATTCAGTTTAATCAATTCAATGGGGAATGTTGAAAATGGACTGGGATTGAAAACAAAGCGAAGCCTTTTTTCCTGTTCTAATTTATGACTAACAGTGAGATAGTTACATAGATGTTAGCGGCTGGCAGGAACCATAAAAATAACAGACTGAGATTGAAAACAAAGCGAAGCCTTTTTTCCTGTTCTGATTTATGACCAACAGTGAGATAGTTTCATAGATGTTAGCGGCTGGAAGGAACCATAAAAATAACCAGTTCAATTCACCAACTACAGATTGTACTTAATTTGTTTAGTAAATCAAGTTAAAGGCAAAACATGTTTTGATAATCTTATTTTTCCCTTACACATATAGGGAATTTAAAGGAGTTGTATTCAAAATAGTTCTTTAATTCTTCAATAATTCTTTTTTAATAAATTCCAATTTCTATCCAAATACATGTTTTCAAAATCATAAAAGTAAAATAAATTGTTTAGTAAATTCATTATTTTATAATATAAAAAAGAAAACTGAAGAATGTCAATACATGTAGTTAAGCTATATAATTCATCAAATAAATGTATATACAACAGATATACTACCATATTTACTTGAATCTAAAATTACTTTGAATTTAAGATGATCCACAGTAATTAGATTCTACATATGGAAAGTGTACACGTTTGTTATAATTTTCCAGGTATAGAATCTAATTATTGGAGGTTTGTCTTGAATTTGTCCCCCTCCCACTGCTACAGCAGAGGAAATCATGGCTGGAAAGGGGGAGGGGGGAGGGAGTCAGGTGGCCCCCTTGCTCTCTACCTCACTCCCTCCCCAACTTTTCCTCAGCCCCTTCCCCTCCCCTTATTGTCAGACCCTGCTCATGCTCTGTTCCCTCTCTGAGCATGTGGAAATGAGGGGCAAACAGAAGCTAATTTGAAGCAAGGGACCAAAAACCACTGACATAAACATACCTGTAGTCATTTATATATACGCAAAATAATATGGGTACCTACAGACTTGGGTCATCCAGAACTGATGCATTTAAATCTCATTTGCAAACTGCAACAAGTTGCAGCACAGGTATTCCACAAACATACTTTGAACAGCATTTCTGTACCTACTTATTTTTAGTGCAAACCATGCATGATATTAGGCCAAAGACAAAAGGCTCATGACTTATCATAGAGTTATTGGCTGGGTCCCAGCAGAGTCAACAGCACTTCAAGCCCTGGTGACCCCACAGTCCAGCACTGCTCAGTATGTGTGTATATTCCAGATACCCCTTACAAAGGATTCATGTGCTAATTAGCCCCCTTACCATGAATGGAACCAGGCATTCTTGTCATGAATTCTGAGACTCTCCAAAAACTTATATGCAGATGAGGCTTGGGGCTGCATGCTCTAGCTCTACCCCATGAAGGGCAGGGCCATACCAGTCACATGCAACAGGCTGAGATGACAGAGCTTCTCATTTACATAGACCTTTGGTGATATTTGCTATTTAAAGCTGGTGAACAAATAGGGAACACTGGAAACAGGAAAGCAAGTCACTACTCAGCTGTAAAGAGGAAGTTGAAATGCATTTGATAAGTGTGGTTCACCATGACTTGAAAAAGGGAAAATAAGCACAATGGGTCCTATTTCTTATTCAGATGGGATGCACTAACCTAGTCTGGTGAAAAGGTCCCATTGGTGTGTATGCCCAATATGGGCTGTGTGTTTTACAGGCATGCTGTGTGGGTTGCATTCAATTAGCTTAACATTTGCATTACTGAGCACATGTTGTTTCTTGCAACAGTTTAGTAACAGACGGGGGTGACATGTAGGAGGTGCACATGATGCACTCCCTGCAAAATGAGCCCAGACAGACTTAATTTATCCTATTTGCAAAAATAAACACTTTAAAAGAAGGGATTTTTTCTAAGTGTATTATTCAGCAGCTGTCACGGTGGGGTCTCTGATCTAAATGGGGTCCGTAGGTCCTACAAGAATAATTACATACAAAATCCTATCTAAAAACAACTGCAAAGTCAAGCACTCAAAAGTTAGGAAACAGTTCTAAGTTGCTTCCATGACCTTAATTTGCCTCCTTACATGTCCTATGCTTTATGATAATCTACTGTAAGATCACATACCATATTTTCTTCACAGCCCTCCATTCTTTAGTAAGTATATTCTATATATTTTATATTTCTTTTAATCCTCATTGGGTAGCTTTATTTACTGCACACCATTCAAATTCAGCACTGAAAATACAATTATTTGTACAATTGTACCTTTAAGGGATCAATGTTGTGGTACATGCAGGCTCTTGTCATGCAATTCATAAGGAGCTGAATTTGAGACAATAAATGAAACAATCTCTGTCAAGTACCTTGTCTCAGTATACAGGGTTGTTAGTTGTAGCCACGTTGGTCTAAGGACATATGCAGGCAAGGTTCTTTGGGTAGATGAGATATCTTTTATTAGACCAACTAAATAGTTGGGGGAAAGTTCTTTGCAAGCTTTTGGGCACAAACACCCTTGTTCAGGCGTTGGGAGACTCTGCTGCTGTTATGAATTCTCCAAGACCGAAAAGAAGCTAAAACTTCTTCAGGGCACAAAGAAGCTAAATCTTCTTTCGGCCACACACATCCTTCTTCGGGCATTTGGAGAACTTATAACAGCTGCAGAGCCTCCCAATGCCTGAACAAGGATGTTTGTGCCCATAAGCTTGCAAAGAACTTTTTTCCAACTATTTAGTTGGTTTAATAAAAGATATCATATCTACACAAAGAAATTTGCTTGTTTGTCTCACTATAGTTCCTCAAAACTATGGAGCATGAGGAGTAAAGAAGCAGTTACTAGCTCCAGAGTTGAGACTTTGTGAATGTGGAAGACACGTGAACGACAAAGTTCAAAGAGTACTTAAGGGTAAAGTTACACTTACACTCAGGTCTCTCTTTATGCGAATCTGTTTGGTGAGAATTCGCTTACATGTGATGACCTTATTTATACCAGAAACTTTGTGTGAGAAAAATCTGATCTTATGTGTAGTCAGCCAGCAATGAGCTCCCTGCAGGCTGGCAGAGTTCCAGCCTGCAGGGAGCTGGGAGGAAGCAGGAGAAAGGCAGTGCGACAGGGGGCACCACATGCATATACAGTACATGCACATGGCCCCAAGTAGCCTCGAGGGCAGCTCCAGCAGGTAAGTGTGGGGAAGTGGGGGAATGAGGCCCCTGTAGGGAGGGAGCTGGGCAGGGCTGGGGCTGCTGTCCAGCCAGGGGGTGCTCGGGGCCCATGGCCGCAGCGTGCAGCTGCAGGGCCCCAGCGGGGAGCAGGACGGAGCCCCCGGTGGCTCATCGGGGGAGGGACAGGTCCCTGCTGCCGAACACACTTCCAAAGGGAAGGGGCGGACCCACGGGCACAGTGGACCCTGACCCTGATCCTGGGCCTGGCTCAGCTCCTCCCCCTGCCTGGTCCCAGCACCCAGCACCCCACTGCCCTGGCTACGCACCTCCTATGGAGCAGGGCTGCACCCCCTCAAAAAGCAGCAGGCACAGGAGGCACATCCCCAGGGTAATGCAGGATAAGCAGTCACCATTACCTGCTGCCCTGCTT